AGTAAATGAACAGGTCAGTGGTAAGATTTATGATTGACGTCATGGGTGACATGTGTTCAAACCTCAGAAGGGATATCAGTTACGCAGATACGCTAACCTGTCAAGTACCTAGCCTAAATTCGAGGAATCTAGGTGATTGCTTCCAACTAACTAATAATATCTGCTGTTTTATTCGTCTTTGAAAGAGAGGAAGGAATTTTTCAGGTTGTCATCGTCATTACAAATGCAGTTTTTCAAAGATAGCTCATTTGTACAAGGTCGAAAAGCCAATCATCGTGCTGAAATAGCTGCTACCTCTCAAAGTAATAAAAGTGGGAGAAACTTTTAGCTCAGTATTCTTATAATACACTATAATTCATCCATAATTAAAGGTGAGAATCAGGGAAGTGAAATCTAGACTGCAGCAGTACTCATGTTGGAGTAATTTCCAAAGGTCGTTCAGGAAAGTTATTCTTACTAATATTATTTCTCGCTTGCATTCATAGTGGAATATATGGATTCAGAAGCATGTCTCCATTCCACTCTCTCCTCTGCAGTCTTTTCAACCTCGCTCCACAAATCCCCACAACCTTTCATTTCTTCCTCACACCATCTCCTCCATGTCACCCTCGCCTCAGACGACCAACTCGTCATTTCCCATTTGGGTTCCACTCAACGGCCAGACCTGGCACGTGATGTCCTCAAACGGTCTTCTCAGTGTATGTCCAATCCAATCCAATCCAGTCCAGTCCATTACATCTCCACTCTCTTCTGCATATTTGTTGGGTGACGGGTTGTTGGTTGGTTCGTTGCCTGCCTGTCTGCCAGTCAGCCAGCCAGCCAGCCAGAATTCCTCGTTACTCATTCTTATTCTTATTATTCTGGCCATCCATCTGATCTTCAGTGTCAGTATCGAGTGAGCGTATGTGGCAGCTATTGATGAATGTCTGTAGTTTGTTGGAAATGCTTTTCGTAACGCGCCAAGTCTCTCACACATCCATCACATAGAAGCACTGACTCACTTGACTGAAGTTGGTGTTGGAAATCCGGATCTTGTTCACGCTCTATGCTGAGTGGAGTGGAGTGGAATGGAGTGGAGTGCAGAAGATCTCTACACTGGTTTCAGATTAATCAAGGTAGGCCTGTCTTGCTATCTTTCCTATCCTGGATGGCTTTGACGTCCTCATCTGTGCCTGTGCCACCACCTGCAATTGAAACGATGATGCCTAGGAAGGAAGGTGAAAGATACTACTTCCTTTACGTTCCTCCCATTCACCGTGATTGGTGATTCGTGCCTATTGTTGATGTTGTTGTTGTTGTTGGTTGAGTGTCTTCATCACCTACGCCTTCTCCACATTCACTCGAAGTCCCGTCTTCCTCCGCTGCCTCAACTTGTTGGTTTCTGCCTGTAGAGTAGATTTTCGAGTTTGTGTGACAAGACACTAGACACAGATCATCATAGGTGGCGAAATCCAAATCTTCTTCTCGGGTCTCTTCATCGGTCCAGCCAGCGTATGCCCATCTTCTCGCTCCTCACACTTTGCTGCATGATCCACTCCACTCCACTCCAGTTTACTTCAGTCGACCACAATCAGGAAGATGATCGGTGATAGTAGACGGCAGCCTTGTCTTACTCCTTCCTGTCTTCACTTCAAAGGCATCACTGAGCATTCCATTGTGAATCACTCGACTGGCATGTAGCACCATATAGCATACATAGCATACAGCTGCTGTTGAATGAGGTTGATAAAGGTTTGTGGCACTAAAACCAAATATATATATATATATATATATATATATATATATATATATATATATATCAGTTGATTGTCGACATATTCAAAATGGTGTATAAATTAATTTTTTTCATTATTCGATACTTTTAATTTCTCGTTGATATGCCGAGCTGAGTCACTCTTTAGCAAATAACAGGTATCGTTAAAAAAGTGACACCCGTTAAACAAGACGTAGATTTCATGTCTAAGTGGCGTAGTAAATAACACATTGGTGCTTGAAGCGATGGTACTGGGTTCGAGCCTCAGTGGGAACAAAATGATTCACTGGTGCATCCAATGGGCCACCCCCTCCCCCCCAGATAGGACGAAACACGCGTCTTGGATTCCTCTGCTAGTCACCAAGATCAATATATTACAACAACTAGTTCTTAGTTAACTGACTATATAATCAATTTTTGAGATGGTCTTTTTCAAATTGAAGAAAAACATACTTTTCAAGTTTAGAAAATGTTTTTAAATTGTGTATCTCCCGTTTTTACTGAATGGGTTTCCATTCTAACTCACGTAGGGAATGAAATCTAGGTGAGTTGTCTACATTAATCCTCATCTGATGAGCATCGTAATTAAATGATGGGAAGTATGCACATTTATGTGGCATTTTACTTTTGATACCCAACAACTCGGTGGTAAATTTCTTTAAGGATGTAAATAGTAGGCTATTAATGTAGGCAGTAACAATATAATAACTAGTTTAAGGTAGAAATAGGACTATCCGTTCAACATGTGCATTATTCTGTTTTTGTATACAGAGATCCTGTCACATACTGGTACTAAGTTTTAATGTAACAAATTTTAGGTATTTCATGAACAAAAAACCTACACTTGTAAACAGAATAACTGACAGGTCATTTCATAAGAAAAGGAGTAGATGACTCTTAGTGTAATTGAAATGGTGCTTCTTAATAAACCATTCTTAAGACAAACTTTCTGTATATACTTGAATTTTCGTAAGAATAGGAAATAAAAACGTAGAAGCAATTAAATCTATGGTAATTAATCTAGTATCAACCTTTCAGTAAAATTTTACAATACAGTCATACACAGAAAAGGTGGTAGTGCTGCTGAGCGCAAGATTAAAATAAATTTCTTTGATATAATATTTAGTTACTACAGTGTACGATTAGTATATATCAGTGCACTATTACAAGTTAAAATCGTTCATAACAGAACACACAGAAGAGATTAACAGGACAAACCTCAAGACAAATTAAGAAGGATATAGGCATGTATGCTAAACCACTAGTAGACAGTGGCAACCACATCATAAGGGAACGAACGGAAGGTGTATGTAGTATCTCGTGCTTCTGTTAAAAAAAAACTACGGCGAAGAGTAATAGGTGAAGTGATCTTCAGTGTTTTTGGTTTAGTGTTGGATAGTGATATAAAGAAGGACTTATCCCATTTGATATTAATCAAGTGGATAGACTCGCATCAGAATGATTATTTTCCCCACTAAATTTTGGTATTCTAAGGTGATCACTTACCGGTTCACTTGTTGATCTTGTTCAATAAGTGACGAAATTCTCATCAGAATATCAGTATCAGAACGTAACAGGAGGTTGGAAACAACAATAGACGTTTGAACCAATTATCAGATAAGGGAATTAATGAGAATCTTTCCGATTGTAATTTATTCAACCTGCACAGGTTAAGTAAAATTTAACTTATTTTACCCTTTCGGGAAAATTATAAAGAGAATGAAATGACTGCAACTGTTCATCAAAGTTGTAGTTTTAAGTTTGAGCATTTTATCAAAATTCACGTTTCTTAAATGCTTTGAATGCACACTTGACCCCAACTTTTTGTAAGAACATAAGGATGTTTTTAGTACTATAGATAGTAGCACATTCTTCAAGAAATAGATTTTCAATGTTTTCAAACCATGACTCAAATATGAGACTACTATATGCATCATAGTGCAAAACAAGACTAAAAGTGTAAAGAAATTCATTATTTCTTTGTTATACAACCACAATAAACTGAACTGTATATATATAGTTAGCGATTGAAAAAAACAAACTGCTTCAGATTGTTCCTGTTGTTGACTCCTTAATAGTAACTAAAATTCATCACAGGACAGAAACAGTGTACATATTCACCTTGCATCTGTTGCTAGTCTGTTATTATTCTCCTACAAACATGTCTCGTTAACAGCTCAGTTAAGTTCACCATTTACAAAATTTTGGCTGAATGTGGTATATATGGTAATTTGTGAAAAAGTTAGAAACTGATTTAAATAATACACAAAAGTGTAAAAGTATGCAACTCAGCTGTAATTTGATTCACAGTGATATACGATTCATTAAATTTTGCTTAACTGGCTGAGATTTGATGGACACCGTGTGTCGCTCAAAGGCTTCCCTCCTCTGTATCTAAGATGATTTGAAGGCATGTAGTGATAAACAGTTTGGGAACAGGATAGCTTTTAGAGATATATCTTTAGCTCGCGTAAATCATCCTTACAGAAGACTCTTTTGATTTGTTTAGTACGGTTATATAAAGCTATGTAGTAACCTTTATCGTTTCTCAAAATATTTTCGATACAGTTTTGTTGCCGTGGTGATTAGCCTCACATATGGACTCAAAAACGTACAATAACTTGTTGCCAAAGATTTTAGTTCTCAAACACAGATTACCGCTCATAAGTCAAACTATCTAAGACAGAGTATTTTTTTGTTGGCTATGAAACAATATTATGTAGCAGCTGTATGAAAAGTTATTATCCTTCCTTTAATACAGAGGTGATGTAGTAGCCTGCAAGTGATATCGTATACTTTTCATTCATTCTTAAATGAATACCCACCCTTGGTTTCTTTGGAGTCGTATAATTTAGAACTTTTATTTTGTATCTGTATGAATGTAAATTAAACACTACATTATAAACAAATATTATTGTGAAGAGTCATACGCTGTCATAGTTTTTCATATGCAGCCCATTACTTCAGTAGGGCTAATGTTTGTTTCTTCAGCATTATGGAACTAGGTGACAAAATGTTAGCTAAGTAATTAGGGTTTATCCTGATTAAACATGTAGATCTCCAAGTATCCAGTGCAATAAACGTTCTCCGATTTTGGCATTGAATCAATGCTCTTGGAGTGAACATGTAGTAAATGTTCACTCCTATAATTATTGTATGAATGATGAATTTGATTTAAGACCTATTCTACCTGTACTGTTATGGAATGGTGAAGGTGTATCACAAGCATCCTGAATGTGGGAGTACTTCAATTTTTATTCCAACGTATTGGTGGAATAAAAATATTAATGATGACGAGAAATGAATGCCTAGGAGTTCAAGTAGCATAAATTTCAGCGTATAGAAATCTGAAGACTTTTAAAAAGTATGATTAAAACAAAGCTATCTTGGAATTATCACATCTTTCCGATCATTACGATAAATTTGGCTTTTGTTGACGAGGAAAAATGAGAACATGAAAATTCGTCATTAACAGAGAGATAACTGAAAATGGCATATTCTTTTGATAAACACATTTTATTCCAAGAATTTGTCCCACTTTTTATTGATTTTTCATCTGGAGTGATATAAGATCTAATTATGTCACTAACTGACTAAAATAAAAAATATGGACTGTCGAATTCCAGCAGTGTACGTGAATGGTAATATGCTCACTATGCGACATGAAAGTCCTAAGCTCGAGTTTATGTAGGGTGGTGAATGCATACCAATGAAAACACTTAAACCAGAATGAAATGTTTGTGTATTGGTCTCTGGCTTCTCAGCTGATGATAAAAACATGATAAAAGCTATCATTCGACACCTCGGACACCATTGAAATAAACAATAATAATGATAACGAAAGAAACAAAAAATAGACTTAGTATACTCACCTGTCCAGTAGGAGCTTTTTCAAAAGAATTAGATCACACGCTACACATTCTATGCCACTATCAGTTATTTTTGAGCACCATGACAAATTCAAGGATACTAATCGCTTTAAATTTTCACATATCACATCTAAGCCGTCATCGGTTAGTTTACTGCATCCACTTAAATTTAACACTTGTAAATTGTTCAGTGCATAGGCAAGTGTCATTATGCCTTGATTGGTTATATCCATGCATTGCACTAATTCCATTGTATGCATATTTGTACGTTGTTTTGTACTAAAATAAGTCAATGCTGCATCAGTTATGTGATAAGCCTGAAACGTGAAGCATTTCAATTCAGGCAGCATTTGTCCAATAGCATTCATACTTTCATCTGAAACATTGATACAATCAAATATTTTCAACTGTTCAATGCTCGGTAGCAAACAAGACCAAAACGCCAATTCTGTAAAATCATTGCAGCACTCAAACTCCAAGTGTTTTAATGAAGGAAATAAGTTTACTAAACGTGATAATGACTGATCAAGTATGGCGCAGGATTTAAATATTAAATGCGTAAATTTATGTGTATATGATGGTTTACCATCGGAATTATCTGAATTTAATAGGTATGAAGAGATAGAGATCTTAGATTCACTCATCTTTTTAAATGTACATGATCCATTTAAGGTGTTAAGTGAGTCATTAACAAGTGTGGATTCACTTTGGTCAAAATAATTTGAAATTGTTAAACCATTTCCTTGCAGAAAACCATTTTGTTGCTGCTGCTGTTTCATACTGTTTTGAATTGAGTTGAGGAATGAACTGAGAAAGTCATTTGTTTTACACATATTATTATTCTCATCTGTTGCATCTGGTCTTGCTGAAGAAGTCTGATTAGGAACTGCTAAGTTTTGACTGTCAGTTGTTGGTACTTTCATCAGAGTGTTCGTAGCTGTTGTATTTGGCTGCAAACAGTTTGACGGGACATTTGAGGAGGACGATGGTGACTGAGATAAAGATAAAGCTACTGTGTAGTTTGGGTTTAATAAAATTTCTAATATATTACACAATATAGTACTAAATCTTTCAGCTAACTGTACAATTTTAATAGTTTCTAGTCTTCTGCTTTTAGCAGACATGATACGGACCGCAACTGATTGTTCTAGGTATTTTTGGATCACTTCATCTGATACAGGAATGTAATCATTATGGTTTGAATAACTTAGTGGGTCTTTATAATCTACAAACGTCTTCATTTGTGAATAATTATGCTTGTTTTCAATCTCATCTAGCAACTTTTCACATTCAAAACGAAGCACAATTTATTTTGGAAACCATTGAAACACATAAATTCGTACCAAGCACGACAAATCACTGAACAGTGAATCAGTTCACTTCCTGATAAGTAATGAAATATATTGTTCATAAAATTTGTATTCAACCATAATGATTCAACTGTGTGTGGACAACCTCTTTTCTGACGTCGTATATAATCTCGATATCGTGTACTTAGGATTCTTTTAACTGGAATGTTTAAATTAATACGTAAACCTTGATTTAATAATCGCTGTTTTATAGCAGCTACTGTTGTTCCCCGATGCGAAGCTAGGGGTGAAGAAGATGAAGAAGTTGAATTATGTGAATAACGGTTGCATATGGAATATGGTGAGTCATTGTCACTGTTGCCGCTACTGTTGTTCGTTATAGTGTTTTGACAGTTACGTGCTAAAATAGCTAAGCGATGTGTCATGGTTGGCGAAAGTGTAGCTTTAAAAGTGAATGGGGAATCAACCGAACTGTTCGTGTTACTACTACCAAATTTGTTAGTAGTAACATCAGTAGCTTCGCTGGGATCTAATGAAAGCTTATTTTTTATCATAAAATGGTGCCTTGGTACTGGGCTGTTTGGTGAAGAATTTGATATTCGTGTATTCAAAGACTGATATTCCGAATTATTTAAAATAATAGTTTCCAAGGAATCATCGTTCACAGTGTTTTTATTTTGTATCAGTTTTTTTGTACAAGTAGCTGCGGAAATTTCGTTTGGAATAGTTTTCACATGTTTAATATCTGCTGGTCTGTTCGACGATGGTGGATCATTTTTTTCATGTATAATTTTAATACTGCGATTATTATTACTGACAGCAGTCGCAGTAGGAAAGCTGCTTACACTGCTCTTATTATTACTGGAAATGTTATTAGCAATAATAGTTAATTTGTCACAAATATTAGACTTATCGTTTGCAATACCAGTTGATTTACACTTTGCTGGTTCAGAGTTTTTATAGTTCTTGCTTAACCGATATTTTTCTTCTACTGGGGGAATTGTTTGCTGATGGTTATAACTAGGTCTAAAATCATTGGTGACAGTTCTGTTTGTGATCGAAATAATAAATTCATCTGAATCGGGATGATGACTGACACATATTGGACTTTTTAGTTTGTCCGATTCAAAGGCTAATACTGACGCTGTCGCTGAACTGGCTATTGCTGTTGGTGAATCGGTGACTGTGGTAGCGGAAGGAGAAACAGTTGCATTCGATTTAGTGAAGCGTAGATTTTTCAGATTGTTAGAAAAATCTATACACGCTTTGGCGAATGACGTCATTTTCTGAGGAACATGATTGAAATATCTGGAAAAAGGAAAAAGGCGTAAGGCAAAAACGAAGTTGGTAGAGTTAGGGATCTTAACATGACAACTATTTGGCTGGTATAGTTTAAAAAGTAATATTTTAATCGCAGCCTAGTGGAACATCCTATATTTGTGATTCTACAAAGCCATTACTTGTACATAATGCTGACCAGTTGATTAGCAAATCAGTTAGCGTCCCGCTTTTGGATGAACGGTTTTATTAGTTAGCCTAGGAGAAATTAAACGGAAACATTGAAATTGTAATCATCCCTTTTTACACTCTTTTTGTAAGATAGCCAATTTACTACTTAGTTTGGGTAATTTTAGTCTACTCCGACGTTTATCTGACAGCCGATTTAAAGTAATAAAATTTGTAGGTAACACGTCCTTACCGGATGTATGAGAAATCGTTATGATGTTCTTGCTGAGCAGAAGCCAAGCAAGTATTGTTCTCATACTTCCACCTAAAAATGATCAATTATTCGCGTCCCACAATTCGGAAATAATCCATTCATTAGTCACATAAGCTTGAAAATATAAGCATGCCAAAAGAAATAAATCCCTTGAAAGCAACCTACTCACTAACAAGCCTGAGGCTTCTGACATCCTTTTCGTTAAAGATAGTTATACATTTAGAAGAATTTAAGAGGAAAATGATACGAATGTTGATGGCTGCCTACTTTTTTCCGATTGTTTGACCGATGAGGAGGTAATAAACATTACCCCATAATATTTTAAATCGGCTTTTTAGCGAACGTTTATGGTTGTACTATTACATAATTCAGATCAACTAACAACTTTGTGTGATGGATTTATTTGGATTTGTGATTAGAGGTCATCTAAGGGATAATTAAAGCAACCCCGAAGTAACAGGAATTGCACATCGAACTATTAGGAAAAAATTGGCTGCCACTGACTAATTTGTCTGTACACATCGCAAAAGTCATTTGTAGCTTCGTTTTAAAATATCCCATGAAGTTACTATTTATCATGAGCTGACATCAGTTGGAGAAACATTGGAAACCTGGAAACACTGGATAGCTGTTTCGTCCTAGTATGAGACACCTCACTAGTGCGCAACCATGACCCCGTCAGGGTGCTTGGTGGTGACAGGCTTCGAGAGGTCATCCCTGGAGTTCCAATGAGAAGTCTTCACCAGTGGGGCAAACCTGGTGGATGTGAGAACAGATAATCACTGATGGCACTGAGTGATGTTCGCGCTATGCCATGAAATGACAGAAGCGAGAAATATATATATCTATGGATTCCAACAAAATGGCTCAAAAGTAACGAGCTGGCAACGGAATCAAAAGATCCTTGGTTTGATTCCTGGTAGGTTCAAAGGTTCCATACTAAGAAGAAACAGCTGTCCAGTGCTCCCAGGCTTCCAATTTTCCTCCAACTGACATCATTCCAGGATGATACCAACTTGAAACTAATAGATCCTCACAAACTCCTACATTGAAAAGATATCCTTCGCTGGATGTTGGTTAGTTGGTGGCTATCGGCACAATGCCCTGAACCTAGGTTTCTTGCTTGTCGGCACTCATCAGCAAGGCCTATCGTCGAAATTGAGGAAACGATGCTTTTTAACAAATTCAAACTGACATCGTTCAGTTAGCACTGGGCCAATCTAGCTGCGATAAATATTTTGAGGGAATGGATTACATACATCCATCGTTCTCTGGAGAGTGACTAATTTCATGTTATCTTGTTCTGTTTGCTGAGCAAATTCTAGCAACCATTGTGCAATGTAGTCATCAAGCTAGCAGTTGAAATCCGTTAAAAGAAAACGGGTTCCTTTGAGGTTGCAGATGCACTTTACGAACCAGTACCAAGGAGTAAGAAACCTGGGTCCAGGGCTTCTTGCCAGTTGCCTCAAAGCATCTAGCATCATTTGGAGGACACCGGAACACTGTCTTTTAGTTTAGAGATCACATTGGAAGAAGACAGAGACGTGGGGATTCCTTACATTCTAGTTTGTCCCTAAATGATCCTCATGAATAAAACCCACATGTATGTATGTTTCCAGAGATTCTGAAGCCTGCTACTAATGAACGAAAAGTTGTCTACCAATCTTGCATGCTATCCGAAAGTTTGACTATTTCCATTAGCAACCTATATTTGTAAGATTAAGCATTAAATTATGCCAGCGTACCATCTTGGATACTATAAGTCGGAATTCGTGATAAAAAAGAGTGAACAGATTATGTGATTTCCGTCGATTTAAACTGTTTATTTCTGGTATAATTATGTTGTTTGCTTAATCAACATGAAATAAATATGCTTCACGTTTTTCAAATTCCCATGTGATTTAGTAATAACATACTTGACAGTGACATGGAACACAACCAACTATAATCTTGAAAAGGAAATGTCTTTCATGAATACTGTGAGTATTTATATGCCAGTCGGGGAGGCAGTAACTAAGTTAAGATATAAAATTTGACTTCAAATCGTACACAGTGTTCTGAGCTGTTATCATTTTAATATAAAGTCTGATTGACTAAAAGAAGTTCCTGTATCAATACAATGAGTGACTTGTTTTCTGTATTCCATTAATCGGCATTACGGATTTTTACTGGATTTAGGTACTTAGTGTAGTTAGTGATAATTATTTCAGTGAACTAATACAACTTGAGACACCGTATTTGATAAGATTGTCAACATGACTAGTAAAGCTTTACTTTAGACATATGTAGCTCAATTGTTGTGCGGCGATTCAGAATAACTTGTCCATCTGTTAAATTTAAAATAGCTCCATATCTGTCATTCTGAAGTAACAGAACTTAAAAGGTATGATGTTTTGTGAAATATTGTTTGACTTGCGAGAATTACAAACTGGAACACTACAGCCCACCCATCGCCTCCTATCCTATCATATAAATACTTTCCAATACTCCCAAGTACCACTTCCAATTAAAATGGGCCATAAACTGTTTCACCTCAGTTGTGATAAGAACTAACCAATACTCCATTGTCAGATGATCGAATTTATACTCATTTTCCTCTAAAACCTCTCCACTTTTTGAGAAGGCAAAATAATTCAGTCATGCAACTTGAGTATGATATTTTTACCATGGCTGTTTAGGAAAATATAAGCAGTTGCTAAGTCATGTGATACTTTTATAGCTGGCTTGTTTATCCACTGACCGAAATGAATATAAGTAAACAAAACTGAGTGAGGTAAGCAATTAATGTTTATTCATTCAAAATTATCGATATATATATATATATATATATTTGCGTGATTTGATTATTTTTGCACGTGTCTGCTTGGTGTGTGGTACCAATGAAGCAATGGATAAAGTATTTTTTGCCCACCTGATGAAGATAACTACCCCGTATTACTATAAATTTTGTCATTGTTTTCGATGATGTTCAATCTATTGGTGTTGAGCACTTCATCATTTTAAGGACAATCGCTTTTCGGTCCCTCACGGCAACTGACTTTCGTTATGATTGAAACTCTCAGTCTCTCTAGTAGAGAACATCTTCGTTGGCTAAACGGTGGTGCATTCCAAAACCTCACGGCTTTATGTTCACCTTGAGCGACTGAGTTCTTATCGTATTTTTAAGAAGTGAGAGGAGAAACGTAGAGTGAACTTGAAGGCCATCCTAACGACTGCCAGAATAACTAATCAGGTTGTGGTATTTTGACTGAGAAGACCATTTTTCGAAGAATGGGGAAATGTGAATGGTTTTTTCATGAGTTGCTAGGTTGGCCTATAAAATCGGTCGAAAAATGGGAATGACTATAAAGCGAGTGATTTTGAAGGCCACTCGAACTACAACTGAAATTAGAACCAATTAGACTTCTATTTTGATGGAAAGCTGACTTTCCAGCCGAAGTGGAGAGGCCTGATTGGTTATTTATATTGTTTCGATGGTTGTCTGTAAAGTCAGTCGAAAAGTGATTGACAATTTGTATTCATTTATATTCCTCTACTGACATATCAACCTTATCAGAAATGCAGTGATAATATCCTCTGAAAACTATGCATTAGTGAACGCCAGAATGCTTCATGAAAGGCAGAGTATTTCAGATTGTCAACACCCACAACTAAACGTTTATAACTTCACACTGTTTTCTCATTCAACTCATAATAATGAACGTTGAAGAATGTCATATATGAAATATAGTGCTCCGAAAAATGAGTGACTTTAAAGGTTATCCTAACATATGCTGAAATAACCAATCGCGATTCATCATCTCATCAAAAACTAAATTCCCAGCTGAAAAGGTGAAGCTCGATAGGCTATTTCAGACAATGCTAGGATGTCATTTAGAGTCACTCAAATGAATGTAAGAGTAAAACTTGGACATTGTGGTTCAGTATGTTTCCATATTAGATTGTTTGTTTTTTCGATGATGTAGAAGATGGTGAGTGATACAGTATTATTTTTTGTTCGATGATGTTTCGAAAAGAGTTTAAGGCACACAGACAAATTAAAGTAATCACATGAGTCACACATTTTACTTACTTAGTCTAAAAATTCTGCAATTTAATCTTATTGGTAGTAAGACTTTACAAATGTCTTCGATGTATGATAAAACATTACTGCTACACACATGTCTTACTTGTGGATTCAATGAAATAAAATTCTGTAATCAATCTCTTCCTCAACCTAGCTAGTCTAGATCTTAAAACTACCACGATGTGTCAACCTATAGTCTGATTACTAGTCAGTCCATGTGCGGAGATAACCGAGTTCTCCTCTAAATCACTCATCTTAGTAGGGTCCACCATTCTGCGATTTTCAAAATGTTTGTCATCACAATTCTGACTGAGCCCCATCGCCTACTTCCACTTGTATACTTGACCATGCAATTATTACATGATATTTGATGGATTAAGTTCTAATTTTACTCATTTACATCTACTGGATATTTTGCGCTACAAAGTTTAGTTCTGAGTGTAATTGTGTGTTTAAATGCTTCCCTAATCTCATCATTGTTAGGAATCCAACATAGC